CGACTCAGTGGGAAAAAGTAGAACAACACCTTATTTTGAGTGCAATTGACGAAGTAATAACAGAAATCTATTGGTGGAAGTCAAAAAACAAGCCAACGGGATAAAAGCAAGGATACTGATAGAGATTTTATATTACAGAACAAAATTGTCAACGTAAAATGTTAACCACTAATCATACAACAAAACATTATAAGACTTTCATTAACGTCAAAATGAGAAAAGTTAATGACTTTTATTATATAAAAAAAGTTTCTGAGTATCGAAAAGACTGGAGCGAAAATAAAGATGGAAAAAAGTGGGCCAAGAATTATTTTAAGGCCTAAAGAGATAGTAAAAAGAGAAAGATTTAAAGAAAACTTAAAAAATAAACCTACCGGATAAAGGCAAGGATACCGATAAAGTTTGTATACTGTAAAGGAAGAATTAAAAACAACGTGAAACGACAAAAGCCAACGTCAATGTCAACTGTTAACCGTCAATAGCATGACAAAACGTTCCTAATACATTTTTTAATGTTAAAATGGGAAAAGTTGCAAAAAACAAGGTTACACTTCTTACATAATAAAAACCTTTTGTGTATCGACAACACTGGGGCAGAAACAAAGAGAATGAATGGACGAGCGGCGAAAAATTATATTGGGATCTAGAGTGCTAGCAAAAAGAGAAATATTTCTAGGAAAGTCAAAAAATGAGCCAAGCGAATAAAAGCAATTAAACTGATATAAGACTATATGCTATAGATATATTAGAAAGCAAGATTTTAAAGCAAATGTCAATGTCAAATGTCAACCGTCAGTGGAGTAACAAAACGTTACTAAGACGTTTATTAATGTTAAAATGAAAAAAGTTGCAAACAACAAGGTAATAATGGCTATTATATAATAAAAAGTTTGTATGTATAAACACGAATAGGACAAAAATAAAGATAATAATCAAAAGTGGAGTAAAAAATAATTAATTTGGGATCTAGAGAGGTAGTAGCAAAAAATATTTCAAGAAAAGTAAAAAAATACGCAGACTAGGTAAAGGTAAAAAAACTGATAAAGTTTGTCTATTATAGAGCAAGGTTTAAAAAGAATTGTCAACGAAAGTGTCAAATGTTAAACGTCAATGAAACAACAAAACCTGATTATTGCTTGTATTGATGTCAGAATGAGAAAAATTGAAAGAAAAACAATACCACAAAAAGCTACTGATATCGAAAAGAGTAAAGCAAAAATAAAAAAATTGCTCAGTGAGAGAAACTGGGACAAAGAATATATCGAGGTCTACTCAGGTAGCGGCAAGTGGCACTCTTCAACATGAATGTAACATGTTAAATGTCAATAACACAACAAAACCTTAGTATGTATGACTTTTATCGAAGCCAAAAAAGTAAAACTGTTAGAGAAACAAGTTAACGATGCCAACTGTATGATTAAATCCTGGTAAGTATCGAAAAGAGAGGCGAAAATACACAGATGTCAATAGCAAAGAATGAAACGCCAAAAATTGTTTTGATTACAGGTGAAGTAGTAAGAAAAAAATATCTCTAGGCAAGTCCGAACATAATGACACAGGCTATAATATCAAATAGAGCAAAATAAAAAATAAATCATACACTTCCATTTCTACACAACTATTCATTTTATATCAAGTACTTACCAATCTTAGGCATTGTCTCAAAATGCCACCACTGGACATATTTTTTTCGGCTTCTAATTCGCTGAAATTTAAGGAACTAGCGAATATTAGGACGTCTGCCATATTGACAAGTCTCTGAAGGAAACTAACGGCAACTTCGATGGGCATTCCTTGAGTTGGTTCAATAACGTCTAATTCACTCTAAAAATTCATAAAAATAATATTAGGTAAGGTAACAAGTGAATTTTATATAACAAAAAGTTGTTACAGCAGACTAGCGCGAAGCTTTATATAGACGTTTTCATCTTTCTTGGCGTGTGCGTGTAAAAACACTTGCAATAAGTTGTTTCATCTGTCTTTTCTTGTCTAAGCTCGATTCGTTTACCTCCTCCAGTGGCAGTTAGCTGTATTCGTAAAGAGGCAGAACTTATCACCGACACCGTATCGGCCAAACGCATCGGTATTATTGCTACAATACTGGGAGACGTGAGTGGTCTCTTCATTCCCTTCTCATCGCACTTTACCATGACAAACGTGACTGGCACAATTGAATTACGCATCTGTGTATCAGAGAGAGACGAATATTAAAAATTCCGTAGTAGCTTATTTCAGGCACACGCCAAGAACGATGAAACCGAGTTTACTATGTTTTCTATATTTTTAAAATTGAAATAATATTTTTAGAATTGAATAAAGTATTCCGCTGTTTTAGAATTATATTTTATGACGCTACTAGAGAACTTCGCTTCAAAAATCATCTATAAAATAAAAAATACGTTCGAAGGTTGTATATGAGTACATCAAATGACTTTATTAGCAAGAGATATGAACAAATAATAGCACAATATTCTCTACTAAGGAAAATAATTATTCAACCGATCAAAATAACTATAATTTATAAGTTTGCGGCGGCTATGTAAAATACATTCTTTATTAAGCAATTTTACTTTTTTCCGTTTATGTTTATATGTGAAAAGAATACCAAAATATATCAAAATTCTTTAAATAAATTATGTGTATCAGAGTGAATTTACTTACATTCGGTGACGTCGCAGAAGCTAATAAAGGCAACAATCCCCCGCAGGCAATGATAAGATTGTCGGCCAACTGTGAGATTAAATGCACTGTGTTAACGACGAAGATGGCGTTGTCGCTGCTGTTAACAAAATCTAAAACGGACTTCGTCGAGTGGCTTCTCCATACTTGTATGTCTGTTTCTAAAGAGAACAAAACATCTGACAACAATCGTTGGTGAATATAAGACCATTTAAATTCTGGTATCCTGAATGGTGGTCTGGTAGGTCCTGGACTGAACATCGGCCTCGATAGTCCGGATTTGTTGTTTTTTGGTTCTGCTTTAAATAACATAAAGAAGGTTAGGGCAACTTTCAATAAATCGGACAAGTTGTGTTCGTATTTATTACTTTATGAGACGTGGCTGTTAAAAAGCATCGAATTCATACAACAGACAGTTATATAGCGTGTAGCTCTTCCTATTAGATTAGAATAGATTCTTGTCACTAGTGTATATTATACAGATCCTGTTTCTATTAACATATTGTATTATTAAATTTCAAATGAAACTGGAAACTGCTAATGGAATTTCTATTTCTTCAGTCATTCCACTTTAAAAACGAATAAAAATATTGTACTGATGACAAACATTTCTCATAGTACATTTTTAATGACAATTTAAACTTACTGGTGTATAGGAGATAGTCAATTCTAACAATATTAGGTAGTTTTTATTGTAATAAAATTGTAGCCTACCGGTTTCGATTCTTACAATATTGCTCCACCATCAGGCCACAGTACAAAGGTCTTAGTTTTAATAAAAACCAAAAGATATCGTACACAAGAAGGCTCTTCTAGGATGTAAATACTATACTATAGTTCAGTACTACCCAGAAGGAACCCATCTATTCACACTTGGAATAAATGGATTAATTCCAGGTAGTGGTAAAATATAGTATTTACATCCTAGGAGAGCCTGTTTGTGTCTGATCTCTTTTGGTTTTTATTAAAACTAAGACCTTTGCACTGTAGCCTGATTATGGGCAGACATTGTAAGCCTCGACGCCATAAGCCTACAATTTTATTAAAATAATAACTACCTAAGATTGCGGGAATTGACTCTCTCCTTCTTATTCTTTTTGTAGTTCCTTCTCCTATCGGAGGTTGGCTATCATCATAGCTATCCGTACCTTATTGGCGAATAGCTGTGATGATCTACTGAGCTACAACTATACCACGCTCTTAGGTTTCTTAGCCAGGAAATTCTTTGTCTTGCTATGGATCTTTTCCCCTGGTTTTGGTCACCTTGCATTAGGAGCCTTAACATCTAATATTTCCCACATGTGGTAATGTGGCCTAAATATTCCAGCTTTCTTGTTTTGATGTGCTTTATGATTTCGCAATCCTTTTGTAGCCTTCTTAATACTTCTGCATTTGTAACTCGTTGGTTTCATGGTATTTTCAAAATCCTTCTATCAATCCACATCTCAAATGATTCCAACTTTTTTATATTATTCACTTTTAGTGTCTAGTTTTCCTTGTCATATAACAAAGTCGAGAACACTTAGTATCTTAAGGCTCTTATTCTCAGTTCCAGAGGAAGGTCTCGATTAACAAACAATGCTTTCATTTTTATATAAATATGCTTGTCTTGCAATTTCAATGCGTATCCTTATTTCTCTGACCTCTGACTATCTACTATACATCAGTATTATAGACTTATATTGGCAACCTTTTTTACAAATTTAAACTAAACCAACCCTCCAACCGAACAGAAGAATACCTTTGAAACGTCTGCACCTACCCCAAGTACATTAAAACATGCCAAAAATTTGCCTGATTTAGCACTATGTGACTTTTACTATCCCTTAGACTTAGTAAGAGTAAAACGACAACTAAGAAGATATTGCAGACCCAAGGTGAATTTGCACATACAAAATATATAAATATATTGCAAAAAACGCTATCACCATACAATCTGATTATACTTTTGGACCCAGCAGCATGTGACTTTGATCTGTTCCCCCCAGCGCAAATCTATAATAAAAAGTTGACTAAATAGGTACTGAATATATTGCAGACCCAAGGTAAATTTATACATCAAATCCGCTGAATCAAATCCGCTATACATCAGATCCGCTATACATCAAATTGCTGAAACTGTTAAAATTGGCAAAGAAGGCGAAAAATGATCGTATCATGCAATGAAGGTGTTTAGTATAAAAATATAGTAGGATGAAACGAATTTGGTGATGTATACTGTTCGTCTGAGCTAGCACCATGTGACTCTAACTGATACCTCTGTAAAACTAGCTAACTCATGTTTGCCAAGTTCAAAAAACCTTCTTCTTAAGATGCCTTTTTCAATATTGAAGGTTGGCTATAACTACAGCAAATTGCTTTCTATCTTGAGCTGTCCTAGTATCGAATGTGTGTCCATACCTGTCCAGTCTCTTACATTCTTCAACCAGGAGCATTTTCTTCTTCCTGGACCTCTTCTTCCTTCCACTTTCCCTTCCATTATATTCAGAGAACCACTTGTCTTTAATTATTCCAAAAGCACAAAACGGTTTTAAAGGATCAAATTTCTTGAAACATCTTAATTATTGCATTTCTTAAACTGGGAATGTATACATAAATTTGTAACATAAAGTAGAGATAACAGCTTTAATTTATTAGTGTATCCTACACTCGTTCGAAAATATCCTCAAACCACCCTATAAGGACGATCTCTAGGTACTGCGCCGAAAACCAGACAGATCTACCCAAGACTTTGTGATGAACGGAAGTACAGGTTAGCGCCGAAGACGTCATTCTCCCTGTAGTATATTCCTTCCCACTGTCGCAATGCTGTCCTCGTTACATGCCAATAACACATTTCAACAAATGGTAAGTGCGATTCTGTTGCAAATTGAGCACAATTTATGAGTTGTGCTGATTATTTTTGCTTATTTTCAATCATATATATTTTATATTATTATTTATTGTTTCAATTAATTAACCAGCTGTTTTCAATATTTCCTACTTAAATAGTTACTCAAAGTCAAAGCTACAATAAATAGCTGTGAAATGATGAAGTTACCAAGTTTGACTTACGTTGTTTCGAAGAATATACAAATCTCATGCAAAGTTGCAAAGTTAACTTACAAAATACCCAAGAAAAGATTAAAAAATAGGTATAGTATTCTTTTATATCGAATATTCGTGTTGGAATTATTAACGTGACAGCAGTGCATGGTTGCCAATACTGCAAAGTGTGCATGTATAACAGCTTAGAGACCTTTTTCGAGTTTTCTGGTGTTTTTTTTTTATATTTATTGATTTACAGTTAAACTTTGTCATTCTAGAAATATAATACAAAGTAAATTGACCGTCATCAGCTAAATTCTTATGATAAAATTAATGTACTTACCGAATAGGTTAGGATCAACTTGTGTGGACGTAGAGGCACTCCTGGGTCGTTTCTGAGGTGATACAGAATGACTACTAGAGTTCCTGTTGATATCTCCAATCGGTTTTTCCGTGTGACAAGAAGGCAGGCTGACTCTTCTCTTCATACCTTCAACCTTTTGGGGGCTCTCCGTTTGATTAGTGGCGGATGGCGCCTCCACAGTATTAACAACACTATCGGTAGTAATTGCAGCATTAGAAGCATTATCGTAATGACTAGGATCACAGAATTGTGAAATCGTTGATATATTTTCAACCTGAGGCACTTCAGTTTCAGCGCCATCTACTAATTTAGAATCATTATCACTAGACTCAACAGTTGCTTCTCCTAGACTAGATTCTTTTTTGGACGGCTCTAAATCTACGGACACAGCACTATTTTCAACAATTGGCACAGCTTCAGAATTATTTTTTAAAGGTTCATTATCACTAGTTTTTTCATTAACAACAAAGTCACTGTTACTGTTCGTTTTATCGTCTTCACTTTCTTTTATATCACTCGGAACTGTTCTAAATTCTGAGTCATCATCACACTTGTCAGTCTTCTCTATAGTCTCCGTTCCTTCTTCTTTCTTTTCTGAAATTTCTTCGGTGGGAGTGAGATATCTGAAACATAACATGGTTAAATACTCAATAGCTGTGGATGAACGATAGCCACAATCTACACATGCATTAATTAAAGCTACGTCATTGACTTAGTTGTCAATTCTCACACAATCAGATATAGTCAGTCAAACATAGTCAGTCTCACACAATCAAATATTGAGGAAGAAGAAGAAGAAGAAATGAAGTATCTGCCTCAATTTATATACCTAGATCTAACAGACAATTTATTATAAAATTGTATGTAAATGTTATTTAAAAAAATAGAGCCTAAAAATGCTATGGCTGTTAAAGGGCCACTGATTTTTATTCATACTCATACATATTCATATATTTTTTGTTCAGAGATTGCTATAACGTTTTTTCATTATACTGCAAATGTTTCAGTTGCTGATATCATCTATGTCTTTTACATTGTAAAGTATAAAATTCAATCCCATATTAAATATTACATGTATATAATATAAGTGATAGTTTCTCTCTGTGTCGCCTTGATAATAATACTTAAAACATTGTTGCCAAATCTCATGGATGGGTTCTTTAAAATCCACTAGGAAACTAAGTTCCTGTAGCTGGCTATATACCATGTATCACAAATCCATGTTTTTTATCTCAAATCCTTTATAAAAGGTATATAATAAATTATTATATAACTTTTATAAGGATTTGAAATAAAATTTTTTGGGTTCTTTAAAGTTCACTTAAGAATATCTAAAAATGACCATTGTTCATTGAACCATCCATTCGAAGAGATATCGCAATTTAAATACCAAGCCATGATTTTATCTTGGTTTTACTCCGTTATGAGACCATTAATGCAAAGAGAGAAATTGTTAGATTTCTAAGACTTCAAAGATTTAACTGTAAGTAAAGATTTCAAAGATTTAACTGCCTTGATCATTTAGAAAAAAAAAAGAAAAGTAACCGAGAGTTACTTTTCATCCGATCAAAGAGGAGACCAAACACCGGAGCTGTCAGCTGAACGTTATCGGCTTTTCGTCGATATGGCGATGTGTTGAAGATAAAAAGTATCTATACCAGTAGAGTTGTTTGGTTATAGTATTCAGTCAATGAAATAGTACGAGATAAATCAAAACTAAAGATTAATTTAGTGCAGAATGGACCATTTATAATTGGAGTGGGTATTCGCTCCGTGCGTGACTGACGCGACACCTACCGCCTTCATCTGACAATTTTGGTATCCCAATTTTCAGGTTAAACATATGACATATGTTTGACATTGTTAAATACATGCGAAATTGACAATTATTATTAAATTAGTTTTTTAACAATATTTTTTCAGTTTATGTTCAAAATAAATGTAGTATTAAAAACTTGGTTTCTCAAAATTCATCATAATATATCTTTTCAACTCCAAACGGAAAAGAAAGGGAAAAATCTAGTACTGGCAAATCAAGTTTTTCACGCAAAAGAGCATATAATTAAAAACAATAATAGTAAAAGTTATGATATAAAAGCTAAAGTCATCTGCAGTTAGCTTGAAGCCTTATCAAATATCATTCAAGGTAAATTATTTAAATTTTTCCTATTTCAATGGCGTAAAAATTAAATTATGTGATATTTACTTTTTCATATTAATAGCAGGAATTTATCTTTTTCTTTTCTCTAATTTATATGTAATCTTTGGGAACCTATAAAAACTACACTCACTGTTTTTGCTATTATTAGCACAATTAAATACGCAACATGTATTTGCACACATTTTTGATAAAATTTATGCGTAAAAATATTTTGTCCAATATTCCAATTTTGTCATATTTCGCCGATATGCACGCTGGCGTGTCGTTTCAATGTACCCCTACCATGGTCACGCACGGAGCGAATATGCTATATATATTGGATTTATCAGTTTTCTTTGTCTCTCAAAGAAAAAACAAATTGACGGTCTTTTTGGCACATTATTAGATTTTATCTCCTACTTTTCTCGTTCTAAATGCTAGTAAGAATGTCATAAAAACCACGCCTACATCTGTGCACTCTTTGCACTCACACAGCATTTATAAATCTCTCACCTAGACAAATCTCTACATTTTTGCTCTCTCTGTGAATAGAATGCACCTAAATTTCAATTAGACTAGGGTTTAAGTTTTGCTCCCTATTATCGTTTTAACTTGGCTAAAACAAGTCATGCAAGAAAAGCATTCAATTATGTATGTCTCTAATAAAAAATTTTAAATCTAGAAACACAAGAAAAATCCACTGAATCTCCCGAATAATAGTCCACACTTTAAGGATTAAATTTGATAGAACATTTTGAATATATTTATATGTAATGCATAAAAGTTTACCTTTCAGATAAATCACTATCTGGAATTTCCTTATCGGGACTAGCAATCTCCTTCTTAGGACTGGGAATATCCTCATTGGGACTTGAAACTTCTTCCACAATCTCGTTTGTAGGGCTAGGAACTAAGTAATCATCTTCTTGGTTAGCTTCTACTACCACCTCATCGTCTACCTTTTCAGATTCGGTCTTATTGTCCACGGTTGGTTCTTCTGTCGTTGTGGTTTCATCAGCTGCTCTGGTTTGATCTACTATTGAATGGTCTTTAATGATTTCTGGTACAATATTCACAACCTCGTTAACAGCCTGAACTATTTCTTGATCTTGAACGACAGGAGAGTCCGTTGGGATATCGGCGTTATCTGAGTAAACCTCAGTGTGCTCTTCCAAGAGTTTTTCAGACTTTGACAGGATTTCTTGGAGAATCTCCTCGATGACTTCAGTTTTTTCATTGGAAATCTTCACGGGGCTACCGAAGCTCGGGCTGCTCTCCGTGTGCACACCGTTACAAATAGGGGAATCCCCGCTTCCAACCTCACCTAGTTTTACAGGAGAATCTTGGGAATATGGAGACTCCTTGCTGATTTTGCCCTCACTAAACAAATCACTAGTCCTCGAGTCCAAAGACACCACTTCACTGTCTTCGTGTTTGACGATGTACGAGACAGGACTGCCGTCAGACAACGTGGAGTTGTAATCGCAGCTGCAAACTTGTTCTGACTTGTCGTTCTCGTTAAGTTCGATTTCCTGGAGAGACGCCCTCGAATTTTGCCACCGTTCGTTGTCCGCATGGCATCCGTTGGGCACGTTTTGATTCGACTCGTGCCAGCCGGATATTGTGCTGATCGGATGCTGCTGTCTCACTAGAGGATCCGTTATGTTGTCTGCTCTGTGCATCTCGTATCGTTCGTACATTTGAGCAAACTGGAGCTTGAATTCTTCGTAAGAAACCTAAAACATGTAACCTATTATTAATTCACTGTCTACACAGGTGAAAATATAATTTGTTGTTATCGTACTTATTATATTGTTTACGCCAAAAATGTCTTTAAAGTTCTTTGTCATTTTTAATGTGTATGTTTTGATCACTTACCTTGGAATGAACGATAGCTAGTGTATCCACCCACACTCTCCATCCTCCGTATTCGTACTTAATCGCATGGTGAAGTAGCATCCTAAACAGTGAATAAACCATATCGGACAGTTTTTGCTCCTCTGTATTCTTAGGGTGGATATACGCCATCGCTATCAACCATTCTTGCCACACCGACATCTGCAACACGGTTCGTCTGTTTTCTCTGTTGTTATTACACAACAGCGTCATGTCGGATAAGAATAGTTTCTTAACGTCTAGTAGTTGTTCTGTTTGCTTCGACTGTCGTACGAGAGTAGCCACCACTTTAAGGATCACTAAAAAACATTTAGTTGCGTTAGTAAGAGTGAAATTAAAATAGGGATATGAGAATTTTCGAGAAAATAAGATTATATAGAATAAATACTCGAATATTTTCTAATTTGTATTAGAATGGGGTTGATTTATTGGAATTAATGACAATATACTATTTTAAAAGAAGTAAGACCATATTTACGATTTATTTCTAATAAAATCAAAGGATGTAGATAAAAAAGTGGTTGCCAATGGAGTTTCAAATAGCACCTTTAGGTAATAACTTTTTTTGGTTTTCTTTCGCAGTGTATGACATAATGCATACGATTTTTCATCTCCGTCTGTGTTTTTAATACCTTTAATTTTAAAACTTTTAAAAAAATGTTTACAAAACAATTTACTTACTTGGATTTTCTAGTCTAAAATGCGACTCAGGTTCGGGATGTCGGGTGTACAGTATTTGCTGACTGATGTGTTCCGTCATTATTTCGTAAAGAACATTATATGTTGGTAAAGATAAAGTATCCTCGTTCAACAGTAACCTACAAAATATATTAGTAAGAATCAATACCGTAAAAGAATGAATATTATCCAGAAAATCATCAATATTCACGATATACAAGTCGCTAGAATGAGTTAAGAACTATGACTTCCTAGGAATTACATTAACTGGAAATGGAGAAGAAAAACGTAAACAAGCTGCACCAATACGATAAGTAAGACACGCCAAACAATTCTATGAGCCACTTAAAGCCAGAGTGGTTTAAATGAGTGGTCAAAATAGAAGTCATCTTTTCACTTTATTGTAGTACTAACATTTGACAAAGCGGTTTTAGTCTAGGTTGTGTTATAACCGCCAGAGGTGGCAAACGTTTTTAGTAAAAATGGAATCTGTTTTTATTTATTATTATAGTTTCATACTCAAAAACGTTAAAATTCTGAAAACCTATTTGTTGGAAGATTAAAACACGAATCTAAAATGTCCCGAAACAAATATACCACTGTGAAGGAGAGTTATATAAAAGAACAACCCACAGTAGGGTCATAGATCCACTCGTGAATCTCCAACAGCTCAAATAACTAAAATGTAACGATTCGTTGAGAAAGAATATATCAAAAGAATTGTCAAACATACAATTCACTTACCTTTCTGCTAACAGAGTGTACAGATTATAAGGACTCATGACATCGTATTTCCTTTTATGCGTGCTACGACTCAGGAAAAACCCTAACAGCTTCAGAGCCTGCAGGCGAATCAACTGACTTTCAGAAGCTAACAGTTTAAAAATGGTTCTGACGCCGCACTTGGTGTCAAAAGCGGGCACCATGGACGAAGGATGTTCCGACATCAACGAAATGAGCATTTGAAGAACGTCGTGGAGGTTTTCGTCTTCGTGGATCGTAGTGAGGTAGTTGAGGATGCTCTGTAACTCGTCGTCCTTCACTCCGTTGCCGACCATGATGAGTTGTTTGAGGAACAGAAGGATGTAGGAACGTATGGCGAGGATATCTTTCTGCGCTGGTCTTGGACCGTCTAAAACATTGAAAAATTCGTAAATAAGACTAATAAAAATCCGTAAGAAACATATAACAGATTTGTCTAATATATTTTCAGATATCGGAGATTTTTTCTCTGTAGTCAATTTTGGATTTGGTGTGACGTGACATCCACAAGAACCAATTTCCTAACAACGAACTCAGTATAGCTTGCCTCTTATGCCGATTATACCGATCCATCAAAAAAGGAAATTAAAGCAAAACTTGGAATAAGTATTCCTTCTCTCGGATGGTAATGCGGAAGTTCGCATACTGATAACAGATAATTGGAAATAAAAATATTAAAGCAGAGTCAGTAATCCATAGACAAGTAAATATCTTTCTACGTTTTGAATTTGGATGTGGATGAAGTTTTATCATTGTCAATTTTGTTATCAATGACTATATTTTTAGAAACTCTTGTTTCTAAAACTCCCTAGGTGATAGAAAGACTCACTTGTGGACTCACTGGGCAGATCAAAAACTACGACGAACCACGCAAGTCAAGGAGAAGTGAGCTGAAAGAACGGATATAATAAATAATTACTATACAATGATATAGATTAGAGGAGATCAAAACGAAAGAGCTTGCTAAGAGGTAGCTATATTTATAAACAAGAAGTGGACACCTACAATAAAAAGCAATTAACACATAAATAAATAGATAGTAACAAAAAAGTTAAAATTTGATAATTATATTACAATTCTTGACGTTTATACTCCAAAGGAATGTAAAATGGAGGAAACATAAAAAAGATACAGACTGTTAAAAATACAGCATTTTAATTCTTACCTAATCCTTTCGGTGATATTCCACTCTTAGACCTCGGATTGACCACCCAGTAGTAGTACTTGAGAGTGTGCACTGTCTGAAGCACGGTTGATACTCTCCTCACGTTGGAGTAGATCTGCGTATCAGACAAAAACTCCGTCGCCAAATAGGAGTAAAGTCTGGTCTGAACGGAGGCCGGCGTGTAGATCCAAAGGGCGGGATTGAAGAGAACATGGTCCAACAGCTGCCATGTCAAGAATGAAAAGCAAAACAACTAAATCAAAATAGTTCTAGCTGTTCCCGTACTTACCCATTCACATGTATGCTTTGTATTAAAACTTGGTAATGGCTAAACATTCAGGCTAGTGACATGTGCACTCGATTTAGGTTTAAACGTAACAAACCTAGAGTATAAGTTATGTTTTGTAATGATACAACCCAAGAAGTGCAAAAGGGTACAGAGAAGAATAAAAAATTTACAAAATAATACAGAAATGAGCTAAGGAAATGAATCAAGGGTTAAGGTCTGCATAAAAAATAGATTTAACAAGAAAAAGTGATGTAGTATTACTTTAAACATTGTTTCTGAAATATTTGTTGCATCTGATATTCAAGACTATGGATTTTTGTAAATAACAGTTTGAAACAGTTTCTTACGTAAATGGTGAAGCACAAAAAACTTGGTATAGGAGGTCAAATGACTCTAGATGCTGCTCTGAAAGAAGTACGAAAGTCCAGGTAGTTTATTTTGAATCGAGCAAGTCTGTATGACAGTCTCTTTGGAAAATAATGGAGATAGAGGAAGGAAAAAAATTTAAAAAGCAATAAAAGGTACTGAGAATAATATTAGAAATCATATATTCAGTAATACAAATATTGAAATATTTAAATTCTTGACAAAAAATTAAAGCTTTACAATAATACTGATTCAAAGATGTTAAAAATGGCTATAATAAAGAATTACTACCCAAAATTTCAGTAAAGAAGTCTTTTGCGAAAGGAAAAACTGAATGGATATATTACCATCAAAGAATTCATTTTATACATTATATTTCCATATTTATACTACAAACTGCATTATTATCCTCTCCTTAATGGTAAAAGATATCCATAATTGTCGAAATTAAAAGAAATATAAAAGGAATAGCAATAAAACAGAAAATGATACAAACATTTTTACGTTATTTGGTATGGAGAAGTAAATAGAAGAGAGGTGAAACGGTTAAGATCAATCAAAACTAAAAATAATTAAGTATTTTACTAAGATAAAGTAGAAATAATATAAAAAATCTGTATTACTCCTTGTACATATTGTGTTCTTCTGTCTTATTTTTTTATGAAACACAATACTGAACAATTGTTTAGATGGATTTGGCAAAAAACTTATTAAAAAGACATCCCCATCCTCCACTCATAATGTATCTCCTCCGAAGAAACGCCAAAATAACCATTTTCCTTGCCACACTAAGCCAATTAATTTGTTAAAAATATTTTTGACTAAATCATTTTTAAATCGTACAAAAGTATTCATTACATAATAGTAACCAATAGAAAAGTTGCAAATAAATCATGAAAGCTGAAATTTTTTCTATAAATGCTGTAGCAGCCATTGTTTTACTATTTAGTTTAGAGAAGAGGCAAGATTGAGACAAAACTTACATGCATGGATAAGTACAGTATAAAGTTGGGGGAAAAAGCGTATACGTTGGGGAAATACTTTCAACCAGAATTGAACAGTTTTCGGTAGCATAAAATTCAAGTTACTTTTTTTAGTGTTTTGTTTTACAAATTGGTCGTTCTTTAGAGGTTCATATCGTTATTATTTGCTAATTGTTTTCCAAACAAGTTTATTTCTATGGTTTGTGATACGTTGAACCTTCCGTAACGATAAATAACCGTTTATTATCTGAAACCAATAATATAAAATTTTTGAGCACCTACAAACTCATCCGGAACAAACACATTGTAACGTATCAAAACGCTTCCATGTTTCAATCTATTTTTCTAATTTAGTGAGACATCCCGCACCTTTGACTATGTCTTTACAGTCCATTCTCACAAAATAATTGTGTAAATGGACCTGAGTCGACTTCCTACGAGCACGGTTCTCTGTGTGTTACAATATATGGACTAAAATTTTAGAAATATGTAAAGGTTACTCGGTTATTAACAAATTTTTATTAGAAACAAATTATTAATGGAAAAAAATCAATGATAGAATTTTTTAGTCACAAATAGTGAGATATACCATAAATCTTTAATCATCATTAAGCTCTAGAATTCTAAGGAACGTCATGGCGTTGAAAATCCTATTCTTGGGTAAGGTGGATTATTCCTCTATGTCATTTATAACTTCCTGTGTGTTTTTGCTGCTGTCGTGACCCTTTTCCATTTGTTCCTGTCTTCGCACTAAACTTTCCAGTCTTTAACATTCATTGTTTTTATATCATCTTCTACATCATACAGTCATCTTCTTCTAGGTCTTTCTCTGCACCTAGACCACAGGGGCGTATAGTTAGTTATCCTTCTCAGCATATCTAAGTGTGGGTGCCTCCGTATATGCCCTATCCATCCTAAGAGAAGAGATTTTATGTATCTGATTATATTTTCTCCCTTTAATTATTCTTCAAATTCAGCATTTGTTTTCATCCTTCTTTTCTCCCTCTCTCGTTACGTTGGGGTTTATTGTTAATAGTTGTTGTTTCCATATCATATGTAACAACGGGTCTAATTAAGGTCTTATATAGGTTCTTGTTTATTTATGTTTGTTTGTTTCTTACTTAGAGTCTTGCTTCTCAACAGCTTCTCTTGTGTTGATATCTTCTTCTTCAGTGCCTTATCCGGTCCGGATGTTGGCGATCATCAAGGACATCATGGTTTTGTTGACTGCTGTGCGAAACAGCTCCGCGGAGGTCATTCCATACCATTGTCGGAGGTTTTTTAACCACAAGATTCGACGGCATCCCGGTCCGCTCCTGCCAAATACTTTACCCTGCATAACGGGTTGAAGAATTCGATATTTTTCTTCGTTCCACATCACGTGCCCGAGGTACTGAAGCTTACATTGTTTCACTAAATTAAGCACTTCTTTTTCTTTTTTCATGCGCTGTAGGACCTCAACGTTGGTGACATGGTCCACGTACCATATTTTTGGTATCCTTCCGTAGATCCACATCTCGAAGGCTTCAATCCGCTTTTCTGTGACTTGCGTCAGTGTCCAGGCTTCAACTCCATATAGTAACACTGGAAGAATGTAGCACCTCACTATCCGCATCTTGGTCCCAAACTGAGAATACTGGAGCACATCACGGATCTCAACTTGATAAATGTAGACCGTGCCATTCAATTCTGGATCGTAGTCCCATTGTTAGTTGAGGGTTGTTCCGAGGTAAGTGAATCTGTCGACTCTCTGGATCTCTTCGCTACCTGCCATTAGTGCCCCGGGATCTAAATTTGCACGGCTGACAACCATGAATTTAGTTTTCTTAATATTAAAATTTAGTTCGTATGTTACGCTCACAGTTTTCACTCGGTCTAGTAAGACTTGTATATCATTTAGGCTGGTTGCTAGTAACACAGTGTCATCGGCGTAACGGATATTATTGGTGTATTCACAGTTCACTCAGATTTCCATCCGAGTATATATTGAAATTTCTTCAGAGTATATATTGAAAAGAGTAGGCGAGAGCACACAGCCTTGCCTTACTCCTAGCATGATTTTCACTTGGTCTGTCAGCTGGTCTTCTCTGAAGTAGGACTTGTAATGTGAAAGGTGCTTCACGTGTACCCATGAAATTGCCAAATACAAATTGCATTTCATCGATATTTTCTTCGCATTTCTTGTAAATTCTGGCATGTATTATTTTAAAAAAAATCTTAAGTGCATGATTCATAATGCTGATAGTTCGGAAATCTTCACACGCTTTCGCAGATCGTTTTTTTTGTTAGTGTTACAAATGTTGACAATAGCCATTCCTCTGGGATATTATCTGAATCGTATATGGCGTTAAACAGTTCAGTTAACTCCATTGTGCTCACTTCACTCATCACCTTCAGTTTGAAGTTCGACGGGTTCATGTTTGTTTATGTTTGTTTGTTTTTTACTTAGTGTCTTGCTTCTCAACAGCTTCTCTTGTGTTGATATACACATAAAAAAGTCTTTTGAATAAAAATAATCGTTAAACCATTAAAATTTTAAAAAAGAAACCTCCAAAGATCGATTATTGAACAAACCGAAAAACAAAAACAGTTTTCTAGGTTGTTTAAGTCTGATTCGATTCTGGTATAGATGCTTCCTACATCATGTCGTAAGTTTACACTTACGAAAATATTAAACTTAGTGCTGAATGATAAAAAATAAAGTAGAAAATATGTGTTCAAATATGTTATAAAGAGGTATTGAAATAGTTTGATAAACAAGTAAGATGACAGCTTTTCTGGAAAGGAATAAAAAAATCAGTATATTTATACCTAAATAAGAAAATGGTTTTTTTTTCCAAAGTTTATATATATATATATATATATATATATATATATATATATATATATATATATATATATATATATAATGAGATGGTGATGCCTGAGGATGCACTCTATTTGAAACACAAGATAAAGAAAACTCTTTGACTTAGTGTCAAGCTTTCGAATTTATTTTCAATTCTTTTTCAAGGCATCTGTTGGCAATAAATAAATATAAAAATTATGTAGATATAATTATTAGTGTTTTTTTTATTTACTAGTCGTGAGATTACAAATAAATTTGACTTTACGAAACGAACAATCGCATACATATTGAATTTTTTTTAAAAAATTGTTCTTTAATATTATATTATCATATTTGGGAAATTTGACCAAATCCGCGGTGTGTTCATCGGTTTGCGGTAGTACTTCTTCATTGACGACCTTGTCTGTCCACAGTATCTTCAGGATCCTTCTGTATAACCATAGCTCAAAAGCTATGTTTGTATGAAGTTTTGATAGAGTTTCCGCCTTTAATGTTCACGTTTCTACTCCGTACAGAAGCACTGAGTACACATAACATTTAAGGAGCCTTATTTTTGTTTCTAGGGTGACGTCGTGGCTTTTGGACACATATCTCATTGTCAAGAATGCACTTTTTGCATTTCCGATGCAACATTTAATCTCTTGGGTATTGCCCCACGACTCATTGATTATAGTTCTCAAGTAGTTGTACTGTGAGACACGTTCAACTCTCATTTGGTTCACATACATATTTGATTC